GCCTTTTTCTACTCTTGTTTCCTTTCTTTATTTTCTTTTTATTTTTTTTTCTTTATCTTTGTTTTTAACTTCCTTTTTGTTCCTTTTATTTTCTTTTTATTTTCTTTTAATTTCTTTTTCTTTGTTTCTTTTTTTCCTTCCTTTGTTGTGTTTTATTTTCATTTTTCCTTTTTCTTTTCTCATTTTTTCGAGGGGGTAAGTCAGGAACCCTTTCCCTCCCTCAGATTTTTTTCAATTTACGGGACTACTTATTAAATGAATTTTTTTTTATAAAATAACAATTAAATGAAATTTTTTATAAAATAATAATTAATAAAAAATTCTTAATTAATTTATTTTAAAAAATGGGCCAACCACATCATGACACATGGAATAATTATCAAAACAACTGGTTAGCCAAAAATTCAATAGGTAATGACTCATTTTGTGAAGATATTTTAGAACAAACGACTTATTTTTAGGGAAAAATTGACAAGAATAAAACGACCTTTCACCGGTCTCCCAAAAATAAAATAACCTTTTGATTATTCCAGAATAATATGACCTTTGACATTGATCTTCCATAAATGGGGTGCAACCGGTTGGTAACTTGTTTTATGGGTTAAATATGACACGTGTTACATTATAGGAAATTTTTCCATGAATAATACCACCTTTACGCGATCTTCCCAAAATAGAACGACCTTTTGATTATTTCGGGACGACCTTTAACATACATTTTCTATAAATGGAACATGACCTGCTAGTAACTTGTTTAATAGGTCACCTATGACACGTGTCACAATATCATTGGCCAATTTATTTTTTATAATTTTGTTTTACAAAAATGAAAAAAAAATCTTAAAATTAAATTAAATTCAAAACTAACCCCCTCCCCTTCCCTTTCATCGGTTTCCACCAGCCCACAACCCTGTTCCAAACCCCTTCCCTTTCCCGTCCCCATTCCCGGCACCACATCCCCTTCCCTTCCCCAATTTCGGACCTATCTCCTTACCGAAAACAACCCCGCAACCCTTGCCAGAAATGACCTCAAAACCATTTTCCTTCTTCCCTATTGCCGCACAACCACCTTATCAAAACCCATTTCCTCGAAACCCTAACCTATCGGGAAAGGATAGAGGTTGCGCAAATTGAGGACGAGGTAGAAGTTGGGTCGTGATTGAAGATAAGGAAGGGAGGAGGGCCGAAATCGTGGACAAGGAGGGAAGGGGGTGTCAAAATCAAGGATGGGAAAGGGAGGTGGCCAGAAACGAAAATGGGAAGGGGATGCGGGGTCGCAAACAATGACGAGAAGGGGTGGGGGAACGGAAAATTGGGATGGAAAGGGGAATAGGGTTTCCAGTGAGGAGTTTGGTGGAAGGAGCAGGTGTATTCCGGTCAAAGGGGGAGGGGCTAGGTAAAGGGATTTTTTTTAATTTTTTATTTTAGTTTTAAGGTTTTTTTTAATTAAACCATTAATATTTAAATTAAAATTTTTTTAAAAAAATACAATATTAACAAATGATGACGCAACACGTGGCAAATGTAACCTGTAAAACAGGTTACTCGTTTTTTGTTCCATTTATGGCAGATGTGTGTCAAAGGTTGTTCCATTTTGAAATAATCTAAAGGTCATACTATTTTTGGAAGACCGCTAAAAGGTGGTGTTATTCTTGGTAAATTTTCCTACATTATAATTGGTTAGCTTTTTAATTTTATTTTTACTATTTTTTTAAAAAATACAATTGATTTTCTAAAAATAAAAATAGAAAAAAAAAGAAAAAAAAAACAACATCCCCCCTCCCACCATCCTGTTAACAACCCAACCACCCTCGTAAAAAACCAACACCACTAGGTACATCCCCCACTCTCACAAATAACTTCCTCCTTCCCCCCCCCCTCCCAACGCCTGACCGCGTGCCGGCCGAGCCTTACCCACCCCTTCTACTTCACTTTCCTCTTCCTCTCTCCATTGAAGCAGCGAGCCCTAGCTACCTTATTTAAATCGTGCGGTGGGGTTTCAATGTAGTGGTGGTCGTGGGGTATCAATATAAGGGATGGCAGTGGGATTTTAATACAGTAGGGTGATTAGAGTTGGGTGGGATTTCATGATGAAATTGTGTGTTGATGTGTCTATTTTATATAGTATTTTACCCTCGTCCTTTGGTCATAATTAGTAGTGTTTTTGGCTCTTTAGAACCACTTTTATTACTAATTGGTGTTTTCTAGTGTTTTCGTAGATTTGGTTGACTTTTGCAGGGATTTATGCTTTTGGAGTATTTTCCCGAGATATTTTGGAGCAATCACGAGCATTGGAGAAACACGACCAGATTTTATAGCCCAGGGTTGGTTAGAGCCATCGAACCGGTGATTAAGGGCTTGGTATAGGTGATACCGGGGCATTTGGACCAAGTATTCAAGACCCAAAGAGGAAACCCAGATTGGCCCGAAGAACTGGAGCCCAATCGTAGTCCAAATAGTGGCCCAAGAGAGCCGCCCGGCCAAAAAGGCTGGCGCCCGGAGGCGCGCCCGGCCGGGCGGGAGAAGCAAAGGTCGGCGCCCGGCCGGGTGGGAGAAGCTAAGGCTGGCGCCCGGTGACGCGCCCGGCCGGGCGCGAGATTAGTATTAAGGATAAAAAGGCGCGCCCGATCGGGCGGTGCCTCGCCTGATCGGGCGCGTGTATTTATTAGTTGACGATTAGCGTCGTTTTAGTTTGTTTTAGTTTAGGATTTGTACGGAGTATAAATACTCCTCCGTAATACGATTTTAGAATCTCTATCTCTTTTTATCTCTCCTTCTTCTCTTTACTCTTTCTTTACTCTCTTAATTATTCTCTTAGATTCCTTTTCTCTTAAACCTTTGTTGTTAATTCTTCCATTAATTCCAGATTTATTTTGGTAACGCTTTTTTTTCTCTTAATCCTAGTTATTTATTCTATTCCTTTAATCATGTCTCATTTTATTGCTTTGATTAGTTTAGTTTCTATTATGTGTGAGTAGTTTAATTTCTAGGGTTTATGGGGATCTAATAAATAATATGAAGGGGTAAATTGTTGTTGTTAACTATAAATGCTAGATTAATTTCCTATTAATTGATTTAATGCTATGTGACTAGATTAGGCCTGATCTTTTATGCATGAGTGTGACAACATTGATTCGAGATTCGACAGATGAGAGTTGATGTTTAGGTCTAGTTTCAATAGGCGGATTAATTTATAAATGGTTAAGTCGAGATTCGAGAGATGAGATTTAATACCGGTAAATTAATTGTATGATTGTAATACGTAGCGAAAGCCCTTTACAATCTGGTTAATTGATGCATTGATGATTGACTATTATTGATTATTGGTGTTGCGTGATAACTTCTTATTGAATTGTTTTAACGTTTTACAATTGCGGCTTGTAAAAGTATAGCAACATTAAATTAATGAATCGAGTAGATGTTAATTTGATATTAAAGGCTATTTTCAATAGGAACTTAGATCTAGTAAAATGTGAGAGCCTGTTAGATCTATGTTGGTTAATAAATTGCGAGAGCCTCTTAATCATGTTATTTATGCAATGTCAATGATTGATTATTATGTTTTACCCTGGAGTATTATTTATTGGTGAACCTATGCCCTAGATCCTTTTATATATTGTTTTCTCCCTATTCTCAATCTTAGTAGTTTAGTTTCTTATTCAAATATAAATGGATATTTTGGATTTTAACACCTTACAAAAGGCTGAAAATGTTTTTTAACACCCCCCAAAAAAAAACTTTTATTTTAACACCTCCCAAAAATATAAAAGTTGGAAGTTAACACCAAAATCCATCTTCCGTTAACAGAACTGTTAGTGGGGCCCACCCCAACGGATATATTTTTAAAAGATCTGTATATAAGAACCATTCTTCCACGATTCTTGCACGATATATAAGAACCATTCTTGCACGATTCTCCCCCAATGAACGAAATCGTTGTTCTTATTGAATAGCAGCAGCGCATTGCATTGTTGCACGATACTTGAAACAATTCTTTCACGATTCTTCCACGATTTTTGAGAAGAGGAACAGATTGAAGCTGCTGAAACAGGTGAGTGCGGTCAATTGTTCGGTTGTTTGGTAATTATGGTTTAAATTCTCTTCAATTATTATTTGCAATTGTTTCGTACTCAGATTAATGGTTGGATTATGTTATGTACGCATCTAAATGCCCAATTGCGAAATTAGGGTTCGTCAGAAATTGAATTTGGGGCTTTTCGTATTATGAAATTAAAAATGAATTTTGTTGCTGTCAATGTTAATTCGTCAGTGTACAAATCTGTAAATGTGACTGTCGATCTAAAATTGATGCAGATTATGTCGTTTGTTAGCTCTTCCCCTCCTGAGGCCAGAAAATGTAAGTGTGGTGTGCCAATGGCCAAGCTCACTAGCTGGACAAGGGAGAATCCAGGCAGGAAGTTCATATCATGTAAGTTTTATGACCCAATAACAGAAACAAGGGGTTGCAAAGCTTTCGAATGGGTTGATCAACCTGATGGAACAGATTGGCAAACAGGGGTTATCAACAACCTGTTGTTGGATAAGAAGCTGCTAAAGGGTGAAGTTAATGAATTGAAAAGGGAAGTTGATGAAATCAGTGGCCAAAGGAGGTGCCTACTTAATGAAGTTGATAATTTGAAGATGAGATGCAAGGCCTTGAACGCTGACAGGAAGAGAATGAACAGGGAGTGCAATGAAGGGAAGGTGTCTTCAATCAGCTGTTTTGGTTGGGTGGGCATGGCCATTTGTATAGGTTTGTCAATGGGTGTAATTTTCCTAATGGCTAGGGGTGTGTAATAGTAAGCTGTATTAAGTAGTTATAATTTCTTGTAATGACTTGAAGTGTTATAAATATGTCTTTTAATCAACCTATTTATGCCTTGTCTAAGTTCCTATTTATGCCTTGTCTTTTAATCAACCTATTTAAACATGTGAAACATTAAAACATGGGAAATATGTGAAACACTAAGATAGTTCAAGTACAGGTTGACAAAAGAACCTTACTTCAACATGTTTCAATGGCAATCAAAGCCATGCAACCATTACAATTCAATATCTAATTGTTCAAATTTGTTAAGGGAAGCCACTAAAAAACTAGCAAGTTACATAACCAGTCATGAGTACATAATAAAAGTTTGAAATTGTTCAACAGACATAATGTTTGATATCCAGCATGAGTACATCACTGAGTAAGGTTGTTGAGGGATTGCAGCCTGGCCCTTGTTACAACACCTGTGGCTGTTGTAGGCTGACTTGAGGAAGACCTTGTCTTTCTTTTTGGTTGGCTTGAGGCAGGCTGACTTGAGGAAGGCTGAGCTGAGGATGGCTGACTAGAGGATGGCTGAGCTGAGGAATGCTTAGCTGAGGAAGACTGTGGCTGTGGGCGCTTGCTGAATGGCAGACAACCTTCTTGCTCTTGAGGAAACTTTTTGTTTCCTATGCTGTTTGGTCCAGCCCCAATTGCACTCTATGACATGCATATAAAAATAAAAAGTCAATGGAAAAGACACATACATATATAAAACAAAGGGGGAGTTGGTGTAATGCTTGTGTTACCTTTTTAGCAGCCCTAATCTCTTGGTGTAATACATATAAAAACAAAGGTTGATCCAGTGAAGTTGAGCTTGAAGTTAGCCCAAATATGCCTCACACAAAACCTTTGCTCAGCTTTGGGAATAACATCAGCCATTGCTTTAATCAAACCCTACCAAATGCAGACAAAAGTATAATCATCAGTCAATCACATACATACACATGAAAACTTAGAAATTGAACCTAAATAGTTAAGAGGGAAACAGAAGCATTACCTTTTGCCTGTCAGACATGATGGTCAGCCCAGCTCCTTGATCATGTGTGAACATTGACATAAGGGATTCCAAGAACCAACCCCAAGTTTCCTGGTTTTCAATCTCCACTGTGGCCCAAGCTAGAGGAAACAAGTTGTTATTCCCATCCTTAGCAACTGCCACCAGAATTTGCCCAGGAAAGGCACCCTTGAGGTGACAACCATCCAACCCTATTAAAGGCCTACAACCCTTTGCAAATCCATCTCTCAATGGCCTTAAACAGATGAACATCCTCATGAACAATGGTGGCTCTGGCCTGTCAATACCATCAACAACAACATTGCACCCTGAACCAGGGTTGTACTTCATCACAGCTTTCCCATAATCCCACACCCTAGCATACTGCTCCCTAGCTGAACCAAATATCAGTAGTTTTGCCCTACACCTAGCTAGCCATGCCTTATAGTAACTCACATCAACTCCTAAATCATTCAAAATCCTAGCCCTAATCTCCTTAATTCTCCAACCAGGGTTACTCCTAAACTCTTCTAAATACCTCTCTGCTATGTATTCAGCAGTAAGCATCTTGTTCTTCTTTACTCTGAAGCAGGAATGGTCTAAATTCAAGGTTTTGATTTGCCAAGTTTGCTGCTTAACAAGTTTTGATGCAAACACCTTGAACTGACACTTTACCCCCCCCACACATGTACAAGCAGGCATTCTACAAGTGTAGCTATTGAACTCACAGCCACATCTATATCTACACTGAACTGTAATCCTTTTACTGTCATTATGCAAGTAGTAGAACTCATACCTGTTTTGAATGGCATGAAGTCTTAAGGCCCTCCTCAAGACTGAAGCATTACTGAATTTCTGATTTAACTTCAACTTGATTGGGTTGTCAAAGTCCACATCAGCATTAAACCAAGGAGCATAGTCCTGTTCCTCATCAGATCCACACAAACTCCTTGAATCATCTGAATCAGCATCACTTTCTGGATTCACCTTCGGTTTTCCAACATCCAAATCATTTCTCAACTCTACTCTCTTATCTTTGCCAACCCTGTCATCTACTGCACTCTCCAAACCTTTCCTAAGGCTCTTGTTCACTTTGGCCAAGATCTCCTTTGACCCTTCAATATACCATTCCTCATCCCCTTCATCAAATTCTTCTTCACCAGGTTCCCAATCTTGTCCCTCATCACTCAAATCTGAACTTGAATAACCAGATCCTTCACATCCATCATCCTTTTCTTCATCAAACCTCAACACTTTAGCATTAGCTGAGGCTTTCCTAGGTGGACTCTCCTCCCTTTGTTCAGTTTCTGTCTTCTTAAACCTAGGGCTCCTCCTAATAGTCGATGTATTTGAACTTTCTACCTTCTTATCCTTTTTTTTTGTCTTTGCAGGATTGGGTTGGGCCTCTTGTATGGGCTGACTAGGAGCTTCTGTTGTTACAAAAACCTCAACATACCCCTCTTCATTTACTGTCTCCAAAAGGCCCTTAACCTCTTCACTGTTAACTAGTTCCCTTTTCCCAGTGTTAAAGGTTTTCCCCTTCTGCCTATACCAACAGCTGTAATGCATAGGCACATCCATATCACCATTAACAAAACCATGAATTGCAGCTGTTCTAATCAAATGCACATCCAACTTAGATACTTGAACCTTCCTCTTCCAGTAACACCAACCACCACACCAACACAGCAGCTGCCTGTTTTTGGTTACTCTTTTAGGGACAAAAGCACCTCCCACTCTAAGGCAGATGTCAACCAAACTATCCTTGTCACCCATTATCTACCCACCAGTGAAAAACATATAAAACATATTAAAAGCCATGTAACTATACATGCACAATACGAATAAACAAATCCATCACAGCCACACAAACAAACACATAAAAAAATTGAAAATAAACATATACAAGCCAATGTAGGTGCTCAGTAACATAAATTAATCAACAAACCACACTTGCTAGTTTAATTAACAATAAACCACCTTAATTAATCTCTACTTTCAATTACGAAATCCAATTAACCTAAGTCGCATAGTCAGTTACAGAAATTGATTTATCAAGGCTTTCCTACTGTGGTCCCAAAATTTACCCTAATTACCCAATTATTGCAAGGTTTACAGCAATGAAGCACCAGTAATTGACGAAATTGCTATCAAAGGAGAGCAATTTTACCTTATTTTCTGTGAATTTCAAGCGGCTTTCGCACTTTTGTAGTTGAAGAAGATGATGAAGAAACCCTCCTGAGCTTATCTTCTCCAACGTTGACACCACCCTACACTCCACTTCTCAGCCAAGATCTCCTTTGGTTCAAAAGCGAAATCAATGAAGGTTCAGAAAGAATTCAATGCAGAAGGTTGCTGCGAATTCAATGAAGAAAGAAGTTTCGTGTTTTGCTGGGTGAAAATTGAAGTTCAAGCCAATTTGTGGGACCCACGTTAAATTTCCGTGACGGAAATCGTTAACTGGTGTTAACTTCCAACTTTTATATTTTTGGGAGGTGTTAAAATAAAAGTTTTTTTTTGGGGGGTGTTAAAAAAACATTTTCAGCCTTTTGTAAGGTGTTAAAATCCAAAATATCCAATATAAATATTGGTTACTTAGATAATTTAGATTATAATAGTTAATTAGAAGTAAAAAGACTTGTTTTCCTGTGGAGATCGACCCTACTTCCCTATCTACATTAGTTATAGGATTTAGCTATTACTTTTTATTAGGGGATACGACTTTACCCTGTCAAAATTTGGCGCCGTTGCCGGGGAAACGGTTTTATTTTTATTTCTGATTGTTCTTGTAGTCTAGATTATTTCCCTCTTTGTCTCAGAGAGCGTTAGTTCTCTGAGACAAATCTCACCTTTGCTTCTAGTTTTTTTTCTTTATGCCCAGGTGTTCCAGATCAGGTTACATCCCATTCGATCCTGAGATCGAACGTTCCTTCCATAGACAACAAAACTTCTACAAGCAAATCCTGGCGGATTCTGGTGATAATAACAATAATCACCGCGATCCTCCAACTGATTCCAACGATTTAGAGGCATCATCAGATGCAGAATTAGAGATGACGGCTCCAAAGAAGCTTAGTGATTATTCACAACCAAAGCTTACGGATTTTCCACTTCTCACCCCTACTCCGGCTCTTGATGGGGTTCAATTCGAAATCAAACCTCAATTTATAACGATGATAGAGAGGAAGCAATTCAGTGGAGCCAAGGGTGAAGACCCGAATCTTCACATTGCCGACTATTGTCAATATTGCAACACCATCAGGCAAGCCGGGGTCACTCAAGACCAAATCAGGGAGATTCTCTTTCCCTTTTCTTTAACTGGAAAAGCTAAATTGTTGTTTAATGGCTTAAATTGAATTACACTTGGTATAACTGACTGGGAATCTCTTGTTTTGAATTTCTATAACAAGTATTATCCTGCAGAGAGAACAACAGTACTACGGAGTGCGATTCAGAACTTTGCCCAAGAAGCCGATGAGTCTTTATATGAGGCTTGGGAGAGGTTCAAGGACTTACAAAGAGAATTCCCTCACCATAATTTAGCACAATGGCAGTTAATCCAAGCCTTTTATAACGGCATTGGAAATTCCTCTAGAATAATCTTAGACTCTGCAGCTAGTGGGAGATTTATGAATCTTAATGTTGATGATGCAGGTCAGGTTATTGAAGATATGGCGATACACAATTCCCAATATGGGAATCCCAGAGGATTTGCTAACAAGGGGAAGCATAGTGTCGACTCTGTATCCTTTTTGCAAGCTCAATTAACCTCTATTTGCAAAAAATTAGATAACCTGAGCACTGCTAATGTAGCTAATGTTTTTGCGATTAATAATAATTCTAATGAGGCTTTCTGTGAAAATTGTGGATTGTAGGTCATTAGGAGCAGGATTGCAGGAGTTCCGTGGAGCAAGTTAATGCCTTCCAAGCTTATAGGCAGAATAACCCATACTCCAACACTTACAATCCTGGGTATTGGAATCATCCATACCTTTCCTACCGGAGCACCAATGGTCAAAATCCACCACCACAAGAACCACAGGCGCCGCAACAACAACAGCAGAAATATTATCATCCCAATGCTAGCCAGAAGAACCAGCCACGACAACCCTCCTCATCTTCTGACCCTTCTCTGGCGGAAATTAAAGCAATGTTGGTCAATATGCAAAAGCACATGGAGAGCAGAGATACGACAATTGATCAAATTTTAGCACATAATAAAATTGTAGATAATCAAATTGCACAACTCTCCGCTACTCTACAAGCCCGCCAACAAGGAGCCTTGCCGGCACAGCCTACAAGTCTACGGATCAAGCATTTGCAATTACTCTAAGGAGTGGTTCGAACTATGAAGGGCCCTCTATGCCCAGAGTTGATGAACCTTTTTTATTAAATAATGCTAATCTTGATTCCATTAAACCAAACAATGTAGTTGATAGCCCTGCAGGGCTAAAGGATAATACTAACATATCTAATTCTACATTGCATGGTACAACTCCAGAGAAGGTGGCTACTCCAGACAAGAATAAGAATGCTCCAAAGCCAATCATCAAACTTCCTTTCCCCAATTGTCAATTGAAGACAAACTTGGATAAGCAGTTTGGTAAGTTCCTGGAGGTGGTTAAAGATTTGAAGGTAACAGTTCCCTTTACTGAATTGATCACACAAATCCCCTCATATGCAAAATTTATGAAAGAAATTTTGACGAGAAAAAGGTCTATTAGTGAGGTAGAGACAGTAGCTTTCACTGCAGAGTGTAGTGCCGTACTTCAAAATAAGTCTCCACCTAAATTAAAAGATCCGGGTACTTTTTCTATCCCTTGTAATATTGGCAATCTCTTGATTGATAATGCATTATGTGATTTGGGTGCTAGTGTTAGCGTCATGCCATTATCTGTGTGTTCCAAGTTGAATATGGGTAAGTTAAAAGCTACCAATATAACTCTACAAATGGCCGACCGTTCTTTCAAATACCCCTTAGGTGTTTTAGAGGATGTCCCCGTTAGAATAGGTAAATTTTATATACCTGTAGATTTTGCTGTTCTTGATATGGATGAGGATATGCAAACCCCAATTATCTTGGGTAGACCATTCCTTAACACTACAGGAGCAGTCATAGATGTAAGAAGTGGTAAGTTAAAATTATCAGTAGGGGATGATAAAGTTGTTTTTAATCTGAATAATGCCCCTAAAAGCTCCATGACTGAGGATAAATGTTTCAGTGTTAATGTGGTTGTAAATTATTCTAACAAGCCCCAAGCTCTTGAAAAAGATCCCTTGGAGGTGGTATCTTGTGTTGCATCCTTTTCAGATGAGATAGACAAATGGCAGAAGGAAGTCGATGTAATAGAAAGAGCACTCTACAATGTTGGTTTTGGTTTCAAGGATGAACAAGTGGAACCGATCGAGCAAGTTGTGCGAATCGAGCCTACGGTAAGTGTTCCACCAGATCGAGTTGCAAGTGTCGAACGCAATGACAATTTGAAGCAACATTCGATCGAAAAAGGGTTCTTAGTGCGTTGCATTGAAGAACCCCCAGTCCAAGCCAAGGAGGATCCACCAGATAAGGCGACTTGGCGTCCCACAGGTTATGTCAGGAAGCCGCATCGCAACTTAAACATCGCTAGACCGGGTGAGAAACCACCCGATCAAGCGTTAGGCCAAGGGTCCTAGAAATTGTACTTGGTAAGAAGGTGGTGCGGGACCTAGATAAACCAGCGCTTTGCGGGAGGCAACCCGTATTTTTAATGCTTTTTAGACTAGTTTTTTCTTTTCTTTATTTTCTTATGAGAGGAGAGATGAGGGAATTTAATGAGTTTTATGAGTGTTTGTACAGGTTTGAAGGAAAGAGTTAACCAAATTTTGGAGAAAAGAAGAAAATATCGATTGGACAATTTAGCCTCGGGCCCGATCGAGCGAAACTCGCCCGACCGGGCGCGAGAGCAAGGTTCAAAAATAAAGTAATTTTGCCCGACCGGGCGAGAGGCGCCTGACCGGCCGCGAAATTCGTCGTATACGGACTAATTCGTCCGCCCGATCAGGCGACCCACCGCCCGACCGGGCGCGAGAAGGGAAAGAATTTTGGCCTAAAATTCGCCCGATCGGGCGAATGGCGCCCGACCGGGTGCGAGAACAAGACAGAAAATAATTGTCAGATCGCCCGACCGGGCGAGTGGCGCCCGACCGGGCGAGTGGCGCCCGACCGGGCGCGAATGGTTACAAAATTCAAGCGAACAGATCGCCCGACCGGGCGGAGTCCGCCCTACCAGGCGCGAGAACCAGCCTCTAAATAATGAAGATCGCCCGACCGGGCGCGAGTAGGTTCCGCGTCTTTTTCTTCCCCCTTTTCTTCTTTCTTTCTCCATTTCTTATTTCCTCCATTACTTTCTCTCTCTAAAACTCAAATTTCCTCTACCTTCTCTCTAAGATTTCTCCTCCATTACTAACCCAAATTCAAAACTTTTTATATATTTGTGATCCTCTCTTCATCCTCTTCACTTTCATATAAAATTTTTTTCAGTTTTAATTCACAAAATTTTAAACCCATTTCTTGAACATGGCATCAAAGAGGGCTAGGTCCATTTTTGGTAGGAGCTCCAGTTCAAGGGAGGAGTACGACCCAGACTTGCAGCTCCCGTATTGGCCGACGATCCGGATCGTGAGCCGGGAACAAAAGGAACGATTGGAGCATTTGGTCGGTCTTGAGGTAATTCCTTCTCGGTGGTTACACCGCCCTACCTTAGTATCATTTGGTTTGTATGATTTTGTTAAACGAT